TACCTGCTCCTATCTACTCAGTTGGCAAATGGTCGGGGTAACCGGAGTCAGGGGAATCAGCAACTATGGGTGCTTACGAGAGAAAGGAGGAGGGGTAAGAAGGAGGGGTTTAGCAGGGTTTAGCAGGGCTACCAGGTTTTACGAGGGTTTAGAAGAACTCTTTGGGAGTTTCGAGTCAGGCTCCTCCTCCTCCTCCTCCTCCTCGTCCTCCTCGTCCTCTACGAAGCACACACCACAATAAACTCAACTGTACATAACTGTTCAAAAAGATATCACCAACATATCACAAAGCATCTTACAAACAGCTACAACAGATCACAGACAACAATCGTCTGCATCAGACGAACCGATACTGGGATGCTGGACCCGATTTCCAGCAGGTGCTGCTCTCCACCAATAGATGGAGCCTTCGACACCGGGACCTGCTAAACGGGGATGCTTGCATCACCTCGTTTAGTTTAGCATGGCCATCTGGGATACGAAGTTTAACTGAAAAAACACAAAACGAGTCTGAATTATTTACTCATCCCCCCCCTCCTGGCAAGATTCGAACTCAGGTCAGCTGAACGATAAGCCGCGATCTGTTTCTTTTTCCAAATTTAAGTGGGCCCCAGCTGAACGATGATTTAGGGCCAGATCCCACTGGCAAAGAGGATTTTGAATAAGTGTCTGAATCAGGACATGTTCCACGAAGAGATGCAGAAAATCAGATCAATTACAGTTTTTGCACCTCTCCACAAACACGTTTAGATTCGGACACTTATTCCAATCGTTTTTGCCAGTGGGATCTCGCCTTACTCTTCCGGAAGTTCATGGGGCGTATGAACTGTGGGCATCCCGTTGGCCCAACAGGCGCGTTTAGTTTCTTTTTCCAAATTTTCCTGCGTGCGCTGATTGACCCATCACATTGATCAAAATGACTGATTGACCCGCCGCTCACCGCCCCAGGAACAAACGGACAGGAATAATTATCCAAATTGCATGGTAGGTGGTGTGGCGTCCTCTCTGCTGTGCGCCAAATTGGTGATGCACTCAACTGGGCTTGTCAATCGCCGAGAATCATTAGGAGGACGCGTCATCTGCGCTTGTTTCGCCATTGCTACCCTGAGAAAGGACCCACCCTTCGTCGGATCTCTCTCTCTTGTGATCCCCCCCTGGCCCCACCCTTCCTTTCTGGGCCATCCGTTTACTACTAATTAAGGCCTGTGTGTTAGCGACCTTCATCATGGCCTTCTCTTTCACCACCTCTTCGATATGGTCAAGGACGTCAGCGTCTATCAGTCAGCACATCGGTGGCCCTGCGTTCGGTTCTCAATCAAGACGAACCACGCCGCCTTATGGGGAAAGCCTTCGATCGGAAGTGTTGACGTGGGGCTTCTCGTCGTCGTCCTCCCCCTCCCCCTCCTCCTCCTCCTCATCCTCATCCTCCTCATCCTCCTCCTCGAATACGTGTACTAGCTACTTCTCAGGCGCAAAGCTATCGAGCAGGCGGGATTGGAACTCCCGCCATGTGGCTAGGCGAAAGCGCTGCCAAATGATCAATGTGGGGCTAGGTGAAGAAATGACCCAGGATGATGACTGCGAGCAGGCCGTCTTCCCAGACTCCTTGAGTGTAGCAGATACGTGGTTGGTGCCGGGAGGAGTCTACCAGGAGGAAGAAGGGACAAAGTGTGAGCTGGGACTTAGACTTGGGACTTGGTTTCATGGACTGGGCGGATGCCAGTTTGCCAGTTCAGCATTTCGCAACCCTCTAGCCACCCTGGGCGATGAAACATGATGATCCCTAATAAGCCAATACTTAATTATATATTGCAGTAATTTTGAGAAACTGTTTTGTGCGGGAAAGGCTCTGGCCTGCAGTCTGCTGTTGCTTGAATGTCGAAGTCGCCTTTCGCCGATCTTTGGGAGGAATCGTTCTTATTTTCTTCTCATGACTGAGGAGGAAGTCGTGGAGGAGGAGGAGGAGGAGGAGGAGGAGGAGAAGAAGAAGAAGAAGAAGAGGGGCTACGAGGAAGAAGATAATGTCGACAAAACAAATTGGAAAAAAATGGGCGCGCGAGGTGTGAGACGAGGAGAAAGAGGAGGAGGAGGAGGAGAAGACGAACAGGGGCGACGATGGCCGGGGCCACACACACACACACACACACACACACACACAGACACACACACACACACACAGAGACAGAGAGAGAGAGAGAGAGAGAGAGAGAGAGAGAGAGAGAGAGAGAGAGAGAGAGAGAGAGAGAGAGAGANAGAGAGAGAGAGAGAGAGAGAGAGAGAGAGAGAGAGAGAGAGAGAGAGAGAGAGAGAGAGAGAGAGAGAAGGCTTCCCCCTCCTTGCACGGGCGCAGCTGCAATATAATATATATGTATATACTATATATCAGCTGCAGCTGATAGTATAGCACAGACTTGGCCCCTAGTGCTGCAACGCTATCCTCTTCTCCCGAACATAATGCTTGGTGATTATGTCTGTATCTGGTACGGCATAGTGACCGGGTGATGTGTTCAGGGGAAATAAGGTATAGGGTGGTTGTTCGGTCTCTTTCTTTCCTTCTTTCCTTTTTTTTGTTTTCTGGATCTCTTTGTCTACTTCATGGAAAGTGGTTTAAATTGCAAAAAAAAAAAAAAAAGGCAAAAGAAGTGCTCTCAATTTTGTTTTCTTGATAGGTTAAGGGTAGCGACACACAAACGCTCAGGAAGAAACCTCTTCGCAGTCAGAGAGAACCTTCTGCGGGGTGAAGTTAACTCTAAAAAAAAAAAAAAAAAAAAAAAACTTGGGCCTTGCGAGACCGCCCAGGAACCGTGAACGTGAAAAATGAGAGTGCATCGTCACACAGAAGTTGGCTAGATACATCCCCCGCCATTCATGGAAATGAATGTATCTGGCCGGATACATTCGTTTCCACTCTGGGAAGGAATCAGTCCGGTCCTTTTCCACTGACCGGCCTGCCTGACTGTTTCGAGTACTTTCTACATTCCGCAAATTATTATAAATTTAATTCAGACAAATTCTACTTTTCCTTGGCTCTTGCTTCCTTTCTTTGTCTGAATTAAATTTATAATAATTTGCGTTTTTTTTTACAGGCACCGCACAAATAAATTTGTCTTCAGATCTTTTCAGAAATTTATTTGAACAAGTTGAAAAACTTGAAATACTTGCGCAAATAAATGTCTCTCTTCAGACCGTTTTTTTGTTGAAATGTTTTGTTCAAAATTCAAATAAATACTCGTTCAAATACTGGTTTAAAACCCCAGGTCACCTTGGGTGGCCTGGCCAGGCAACGGCCAAGCAAGGGCCCTGGCCGCCCCCCCCCAACGAAAAAAAAGACACAAAGAATTCGAAAAAATGATTTAAAAATCTTGAAAAAAAACTGTGGTATGCAGACATTGCAGAGTAATGTACTGAACAACTTCTTTTTGCCCCGGTTTACCAAATTGAAAATAAAAACAAAATAAAAGAAAACATTTTTAATTTCTATTTTTTTTTTTTTTTTCCCCGGCGGGGCAAGTGGTCCTGGGCCTCTCCACTTGAAATAAATACTAAATTGAATATTTGATTATGATAAATACTTGATTGAAATGATTACTTGGTTGTAGCGAAGACTTGCTTGAAATATAGAGTGCTTTTTGTTTTTCTTTTTTTCTTTGAAAATAATATTTTTGTATTTCATTACTATTTCTCAAATATTCAGGCTGATTTTCAAGGGTCTGAGGACGCTGGAGGTAATTCAAGCCCTTGAAAATCAGGTTGCTTGCCTGTGAGCTGAAAAAAAGGGATCCTTTTATTGAACACGTCTAAAAGTATGAACAGATCATGAGTTCAAATCCCCTGGCTTGAATATCAAGCTGATTTTCAAGGGCTGAAGAGGCACTGCTTTCTTAAAAAAGAATATTTTTGTATTTCTCAAATATTCAAGGGTTGATTTTCAAGGGCTGAAGAGGCATTGCTTTTTTTTGAAAAGAATATTTTACTATAATTATTAACTTAGTGTTTCTCAAATATTCAAGGGCTGGTTCTCAAGGGCTGAAGACTCTGTGAAGAGGCATTGCTTTTTTTTTATAAATAATATTTTAGTATTTCTCAAATATTCAAGCTGATTTGCTTTTTTTTTGAAAAGAATATTTTAGTGTTTCTCAAATATTCTGGAAATCAAGCAGCTGATATTCAAGCCAGTCCTCTGTCCTTAATCTAGTGCATGCATCTTTCAGATTCTTTCTTTTTCTTTTTGTAATTTTTTCTAGGCTACCAGAGTGGCCCGGGGTCACTTGCCCGGCCAGGCCAAAAAGATTTAAAAAATAAAAAAAATAAAAAATATTTTATATTTTTATTTTATATTTTAAATTTGGTAGAGAATTTTGATGTGACCCTGACGCAAAAGTTGTTCAGTTTATTTTTCTGCATAACATAGTTTTTTTTCGGATTTTTTGGATTTGTTTTTTTTTTTTGCTGGGACCCTCCCTTGTCCTTGCACGGGCTGGCCACCCGGGACCCGGGCGGCCCGGCTGGTAGCCTAGAATTTTTTCCTTTTTTTTTCAGAAGGATGTTTTTGTGGTGTGTCAACAGTTTTCAGGATGGTGGCAGTCAATTTCCTGTGGCGAGGTCCCACTGGGCAAGAGGATTGGATTAAACAACCGAATCTGGACGCGTTCGTGGAGAGGTGCAAAAAATTGCGATTACTCTGCTTTTCTGCATATCTGCATAAAGCACATCCAGATTCAGCCGCACAATCCAATCTTCATTGCTATTGGGACCTCGCCTCTGGGCTTCTGCCCCAAGACAATCAACGCGGAGCCACCATTTCATTCTATTTTCATATCAATATTGTCCAATTTAAATAAAGGACACTGGGCCCGTTCCGAGCACGAGCTGGCCCCCACCATTAGATCAGAGCCTTTTCAGAAAAAAAGAAAAAAAAGAAAAAAAAAAACTTTTAAATAAATAGATATTAGATACTGAGTCTTGTGCTTCTCCTGATGCTGCTTCTCTGCTCTCCGCAGGTCCTTATGGGTTTCCACAGGCACCCGTTTTCCTAAAAGGAAAAGTTGTGACTGGATTTGGTCGGGGTGGTAAACTGCTGGGCGTGCCCACAGGTACTGTTAAGTTTTTTTTTTTTTTTTTTTTTTTCACCCCTTGTTTTCTCGCCCTCTCTTTTATTGTTTTAAATTTTCATTTAAACCACGAGTCCATTTCCGAGCCAGCCATTTTGCGAGACAGCGGCCTTGCTAGCGCTGCCCTCTGCAGGATGTACCGCATGCACAGCATTGAAAAAATACATCCAGGCAAATGGCGTCGCATGCACAGCATGCGGATTTTACCTGGATGAATGGTTCGCCCGGCGGCAGCTCAGTACGTCCCAGAGAGGACGCAGGGCGTGCTCGCCCTTGTTCTCGCAAAATGGCTTGCCGGGAAATGTACTGGTGGTTTAAGAAGGGGGGCAGTCCCAAGCATATTTTATCCATCAAGATTCGATTTCATCATCTGTTTATTTATAGGGACAAGTGGACCCCGCCACGGCTACGCCGTGGCGCAC